TTAGCGCTGATTTGTAGAAAATTGCTTTTGTGGTGTCCTGTGCTACCCTCAGGTGAAGGAAGCATTATCCTGAGGGCAGAGTGGAGCAGGGACTCCAGTGAAGCAGTGAGGGACCCTGCATGGGGTTTCACTAATTCCTGTCCCCTACCAAGAAGTCCTTGGGTTTGTGAGGCTAGGCATGTTGTGCTTCTGTCACTGTTGGGTGGGAGGAGAGTGGTAAGGCTGAATTGTTCCTATGAACAGCTCTTGAACCAGAAAGCCAGCTCCCTGTCTTTTCTCACCGCCCCCCCCCCCAAACGAGAGAGGAGCTACTTTCCAGTATTCAGAAGCCGGGCCCCCAGTGGCTCCAGATAATGTTGCATGGGGTTGAGACAGATTATATGAAAACTTTAGATTATTTTATTGAAATCTCCATATTTTAAGAATAAGGTATTTAAAACATGTCTTTATAATTACTTGCATAGAGATAAGATAGGGCCTTCTTCACCTTGCTCTCCCCATAGTGCCTCACATAGCAGACAGCAAGTAGTGATCAATTAACAAATAGAAATGAAAAGACAGTTTTGTTATACACATCTGTAAATCCTATTTACCAAAGATGAATAGGAATGACGTCATTTTTCCTAATTTATCACTCCTATTTTAGCAATAAGGAACATTTCTGGAAAAAGAACTCTACATTTAATCTATTCTACTTTGTGCAAAAACAAGCTAATACACCAATCCTCAGTTATATCTGTTATTAAGCTTAGTTAAAAAGAAAGCAAATGGGAAAGCAAATAAATTTAATAAACTTGTGGATAATTAATTTTTTATAACCCTTGAGACTTAAAAGAGAAAACCAAGACTTGACCTATTATTTTGAAAAGAAAGCAAAAATATTCATGAGAAAGTAGGCCACTTAGTATTTGACAATAGAAAGTTTCAAAGCATTTTGAAAAGTTTTATTCTGTAATTTTTCTGTAATTGGTGCCTTTGAAAAATCTTAGAGTATATTGGTGATATTTCCCAAAAGGATATTTTTATATAACAATTTTCATAACTGTGATACTATAGCCACAGTATTATCAGCGGGATTAATTTTTGGACTAAAGTACTGTTTAGTTCTCTCCTTTAATAATATGATTTCAGCCTACTTCAATTTGAATGTTTAATTCTAGTAGAGGAGTAGATTTATTTAAGTAAAAATTATACAAACATTCCAAAGAATAAGCCCTGCATCTGAAAATTCACTGTGGAGTCAATCACATTTCAAGATTCTGTTTTTCTACCAGTAGAGGTCACTGTGCCCCTATAGAAGGAAACCCAGTGCTGATGGTCATCCTAGAACTAATAATAGTCGTTACTGGACTGGAATTTCTGGGATCTTAAGCCCCAGCCCCAACTCACACACACATCAACAGTGACACTTAGCTATCATCAACCAAGAGTCATTTGTCACTGTTTGTGCACGTGAGACCATATCCTGATGAGGGCTAGTGGAGTTACAGCCCAGCTTCCCACAGTATACTTGGGCAAGTCAGCTTTAGCACCAGGTATGGTTCCACAAAAAAAATTAAACAAACCAAGACATTGAATCTCACGAGTTTGATAGAAGCTTAACATTCATCAGATTCACTTTGGAGGAAGTGGGGTGGGGAGACTTTTATTATTTTAACAATTTGCAAATCCCAGAGAGTTTCAAAAGAATTCTTTTTAGTACAGTAATCTGCTTATTACTAATGGGAATTTGCTTATTAAAACTGTTCAGACCTTTTTACCATGGTAGTGTCTATATTACACGGTATTTCATTGTTTGCATATACTAACCAAGTATTATCTAGGAGAATAATGTTCTATTGGTTTGTCTACAGAGATATCATCTCGGAGGACTTTTCAAGAATAAACACAATGCGGTTGTTATAAAACTAGTGATGCCTTTACCAGATAACTAAAATAAATGCAAATTTCAGATGAGCCTTGTACATTAATCCTCCTTACTTTTAAGGAAGTTGTTACAACTTCACAACATGGAATGTTGTGAAGATAGCAAGCAGTAGGGAATCAAGGGACACTTCTGCAGACCAGTGTGATCAGATGAGGACCCTGTGCCTCATGCTTTTGCAGTGCCTTTCAACAACATCACTCTCATGCGTGCAGGGATGAGGGGACATTTGAGTCCTAGCTCTGAGGTTATCTTAGTGAACACTTTGTGCCTCAGTTTCCACATCTGTGAAATGGAGTTAAGAGTACCTGCCCCGTAGAGTTGTGATGTGATATGTGTGGAGTACTCACAATAGTCTAGAACACAATGAATACTTTAACTGTTACTACACAGCCTCACTTTTTCTAAACAGGGCCCATGTGGGGATATGAAAGTTGAATTCGTACACTTTCAACTATTCTTGACTATTTTGGGGATCAACAGAGTTCATTCTGTTTTTGAATTAACTCTTAATCTAGTTCCATATCAAGGAACTAGATGAGTGTATAATCTTTAATGATTCAAGTTTTCTTCATTTTTTTTCTTTGAAGTTTGTTTCCATATTGGTAAAATGATTTTTCTCCTCTGGTCCAATATTTTGCTCTAGTATTTTCCCTGTGAGGTATATAATCATGTTGCACTTGCTTTTTTTTTTTTTTTAATGATTTGCATTTAAATGTTCTAGTTTCGATGAAAGTCATAAAATATAAGAGATTGTTTTCAGGATTGTGCCTTAATGTCCTAATTTATTATAGCACTTTGAATGTTAAAAATGTGTTCTGTCATTTATAAGGCATTTGTGTTCTACACAATTAAGTACTTAAAACAGTAATCTGGCCATTTATACCACATACTAATTCTGGATGAGGGAAATCAATATCTGGTACAGAAACATACACATTTTTATAGGTATAGATTTGGTCTCAAAAGGTGAGACCAATAATAATTTATTTTAATTTTTATTATTGAAACTCCATTCTCTAATAAATTATGTGCATACGCACTGCCTCTGTGTAGGTGAGATAAACCCATTTCAGTGAAACATTTTGGTTTCAGCTCACTACAGTCTTTTACTACGTATATGAACTAGGAGAAAAGTTATTGTCAAACGTGTCTAATAAACATCCAATATTTCTTTAGGGGTGGGAGGGATTCCCTAGAATAGACCAAAGGAATCCCTACAGTGTCTTCTCCAGTAACTGAAGAACCATATATTTCTAAGACAAAGGGTGTTAAAAGTGATGTTTCAGGAAATATAAAAATATTCCCTGAAACAAACCTCATATTTGCACTTAGGCTCCTGAGTGGGTCACGTAAGTGGCTCCCCACCCCGTGGGCCCAGGAGCACACTGGTAGACTGTTGCACAGTGCAGCATCATACCAGCCATTTCTTCTATGTGACTGTGTTTAACCGACCTATAAATCAGCCACCAGGGAAGGAAGTGGGCCTCCTTCCTGTTTCTCACAGTTACATTAGCATTTCTTGCATGAAGAATGCAGAATGCCAGTCAAGTCTCTGCAGTGGCCTCATGGCTAAGGGGGGGAACTTTTACTGGAATATACTGCTGTGAGTTACAGGGGGATTTTTGTGTTTTTCTTTATTGGTGCACTATAATTTATGTATAATTATAGTGCACCAATAAAGTGGGATTCCTTGTGCATTTTGTACGTGCACATGACATCATTTGATCACTCCATTCCCAGCACCTTCCCTTTCTTTCCCTTGTTACTCCCCTGATCAACCTGCTCTATTCTACTATCCTCCATCTATTATTATGATTTTGTTTTGTTTTGTTTTGGAGACAGTCTGGCCAAGTTGCTGAGGCTGACTTAAAACTGGTGGTGATCTTTCTGTCTTGGCCTCAGGAGTCGCTGAAATTACAGGTGTTCATCACCACACCTGTTTTCTTTAAATGATAAAAATAATCATTGCTTTTTTATAGTATTTCCATGCATTTTATAAGTTTAATAAAGAAGATAATTGGAGATACAGCATCAGTTTAGCCTTTCAGAATTCCATTGTGTTGATTTGTTTCATCAGTAATTCTTTTTTTATTGGTTCATAATTTATTTTTATTGGGATATTGGTGCATGCATATAACATAATTTGATCAGTTTTCTCCCCTTACCCTCCCTCCTCCCTCCCCCTGCTCTCCTTTTTTCCCCACCTTTTTTTTTTATTGGCGCATTACAGTTGTACGTATTGATGGGATTCGTTGTTATGTATTCATACATGCACACGATATACTATAATTTGGCCAATATCACTTCCCTGTACTTACCCCTCACTCCTCCTTGGTCCTCTTCCTCTACTGATCTCCCTTTCAATTTTAGGAGCTCCATCCCACCTTTGATTTTCCTCTTTAGCTTCTGCAAATGAGAGAAAACACATGACCTTTGACCTTCTGAGTTTGACTTATGGGACTTAACATGATGGTCTCTGGTTCCATCCTTTTTCCTGCAAATGCCATAGTTTAATTTTTCTTTATGGCTGAATAAAACTCCATTGTGTATATGTACCTCATTTTCCTTATCTATTCATCTGTTGATGGACACCTAGGCTGGTCCCATGGTTTGGCTATTGTGAATTGTGCTGCTGTCAACATGCGTATGCCATGTACCACTGTAGTAAGATGACTTTAATTCTTCAGAATAAATACTGAGAAGTGGTGGTATAGCCGAGTCATATGGTGGTTTCATGCCTAGTCTTTTGACTCCATAGTGGTTGTACTAACTTATAGTCTCACCAATGGTGTAAAAGCATTCCTTTTTTTCCTTTTTTTCAGCATTTACTGTTATTTGTATTCCTGATGATTAATTTTATTATTATTGTTGTTGGAATATCAGTGCATGCATAGAGCATAATTTGATCAGTTTTACTCCCCAATACGTCCCTGTTCCCTCCCCTCCTCCTCTCCCTGCTCTTGTTCTGCTCTATTGATTTTCTTTCTGCTTTCAGATGTCTTTTTCTCCCCACTTTCTCTTCCCTGCCACTAGCTTCCACATATGAGAAAAATGTGCAGTAGTTCTCTGAGTCGAAAATATGGAACGCTTCATGAGTTTGCCTGTCATCCTTGTGCAGGGGCCGTGCCAGTCTACTCCTGTCGTTCCGATATCAGTGTATGTGCTGCCGAGGCAAGCACTCACCAATAAATCTTTTCGGGAAACTCTGAAAATAGCCCAGAAAACTATTTAGACCACATTTCAATAATAACTTCATTATAATTGGCTTTTGTGATATTTGCAATATTATGATCTATTCAATTTTTCTGTCTTCTAAAACAAACAATATAATTATTTTATTAGATATTAAAAGCAGTATTTGAAGGCAAAAATTAATTTCTTACATTTGTGCTCGTGGACAATTGTCATTTCTTTTGGGTCCAAGGAAGCTAGGAGCTGGAGATACACTCTGTATTAAATTATTGAACTTTTAATCTTAGATGAGGGGCCTGAATTGAAAGTATCATCCTGCCATTGAATGTATTCATTCATTTATTCATAGACTCTGAAGCGCCATATGCAAAAACAAAACAAGGTCTTTCCCCTGGAGGAATCAATCCCCAGTGTTGTTGAAAAAGCAAACCTGCAGATGGACAGATGACTAGATGGAGGGGTTGGCTCTGGATGGAGGTGTGAGCAGCGTGCCTGGCAGGTCTATCGGGGAACATCCGCCATGGAGAAGGCTGGACTAGGGAAGGCAAGCAGAGAAAGTGGTGCTTGACCAGGGACGGTCCTGCAGCTTGCTAGAAGTGAACTGCATTTACAGGGGCTACTCAAAGGCACAAAAGGACACAAGGGCCTCTGCCCAGCTGACTGCAGTGGGAATCCGCAGCAGGAGGTAACTGGTTCAGACCACAAATATACTCTCACCTTCTGAACTTTACATCATCATGTAAACAGAAGTGAAGTCAGGAAAAGTGGTTGGGAAAGGCTTCAGATTCCCTGTCTGTTTGGGGTCCAGTACTCCTGTCATCTTCCGAAGTACCCAGTGGCCTTCTCCCTCCCTCAACCTTGATCAGAAATGACCCTCTGCTAGATCAAAAGGAAGATATCATTGCTTTACCTTACCTTTCTATATTTTAGTAGTCAGGACTTCTTCCTTCTGCACAGACCTATTCTATATGTAAAATTTTAGCTAGTTGTTATTTAGGGTATTAGAATGGGCAAAGAAAACATCCCTTTGGAGTCAAACTTCCCTGAGTTTCCCTAGTCATATCACATGGGGCAGGTTTCTCGGTTGCACTGTGCCTCAGTTTCTGCAAGAGGGTTTGTAACAGCACACAGTAGTGCAACTCCGAACAGGACTGACACGTGGTCAGCACTTAATACACAGTAGCTATTTTTTATCATTATTATTCTCTAGATAATAGAAAAGAAAATGTCAAGACTGCAGACTTTAGGAGCGCCAGGCTCCTAAAGACTTGTTGTCAGTGTTCTTCTTCAGAGTGCCCTAGAAAATGTATGGAAATGGAATGGGGAAGGGTATCTTTAGATTGAAAGTCTTCTCTCTTTTTAGTAGTCTTTCCAAAAGCACACATCTTACAAGACATCTAGGTGACAGTGTATTAGATGTGGCATAAAGCACCCCATAATCAGAGTCTCTGTTGTTGTGTGTTATTTGTTCAAAAACAGATAGCATTGTTGTGCATAAACAGGTAACACAGTATAGAGAAAAAAGTCATTCCAGAAATAACTCAGCAGCAAGAACTGGAAGGTATGTGAGCAGGGATGTTATTTGAGAGTGTTGCCACCCACATGGGCTTTTTCCCCTGCACTGGGGAAGGGAGAGGTGGGGACTGGTCTGTGGAGCTTAGCGCAGAGAGAGGCTGCTACTGCCCTCACGGGTTCCGTGCCAGCCAGCTGCCTGCCAAGCACAGGGGCTGAGCCGGCTCCCCACCCCAGAGAACCTTGAAATGATGTTGAATGCAGTAAGGTATGCACGGGACCGACTCTGGCCAGCACTGTGGGACCCTCACATTGTTTCAGTGCAGTGCAGTTTGTCTTGCCCAATGATATGCAGAGAACAGCAGGCTGTATGCGCCGGATCTGCAGCCACACACTGTTTGAGATCCTTGCACTGTCCTTGGGACTTCACAAGGTTATATAGGTGGGTCATAGATCAAAGAAAATGAGAGCCCAAAGACTCTTGAGAGATATTGGAATGGAAAGTCGGGTGAGTGAAGAAGAGGGAATTTGAAAAACATGTTGAATGTGCTTCATTTTATAATACACAATGGAGCCTTTTTACATGCTTTTGGTTGAGGGAAGACAGGTGGAATGTGGTGATGCTGTAGGGGATTGTAGGGGCTTAGATTGCTCAGAGGTGTGAGATGAGGCCCAGCTCTGCAAGGTTTACAGATAGTTCCTCATCTGTAAAGCAGGAGAGAAAAGACCAGCAATTTAGAACAGCATCTAAATAATTACATCACAGTGTAACAACTCCTTGGAAGTCTGGGGAGGCTTGAATGCAGCTTTTATAGAGAAATGGTGCCATTTGTTGTATCACAAGAAACCACACTCCCAGTCCAGGGAATTGAAGATAAAACAGATTTTTTTATATTCCCTTCAATGAATGACTGAGAAAAAATAGAGGCTTAGAGGGCTCTCAAATAAAAATACAGGACACCCGGTTAAATTTGAATTTCAGATTAAAGAGTGAATAAATTTTAAACATGCCTGAAATTCATGCTTAACTAGCATCCTGAATTTTCTCTTTCATTTCTAATTGGAAACCTAGAATCACAGTAGTGCCAGGACACTGACTATGGCTCAGGCTCATAGAAGATGCAGGCATGTACCAGGGGCTTGGCCTCCATGGACTCTTCTAGATACTCAGCAGTGATGGCTCACTCTCCTCCTTCTGCTCATCACCAGAATCACGGAGTGTTGATACAAGCATTTTAGTGGCATCATTGTAGAATAATGATAATAATAATTACTGTATTTTGAGTACTTTCTCTACTAGATCTATTATTACATAAATTGTTGTATCCTCATGGGGAACAGGCATGGTTACCGCATTAAGCAGGACTAGGAACAGTTAACTTCAAGTTACACAGGTATTTTGAGCAAAGAATGGTTTAGACTTAAGGGTGTGTGACGGTGCAGCCTGAGTTCTTGACATCTACTCTGTATGGGTTGACCAAGACAGCTTGTAGTTGACTCTATAACAGAAGTTCATTGCGGGATTGTCTTATTTTTCTTTACTATGATAAGTATTTTTCTTTATATCCATGGATTATATGTCCAAATTCCATGCTCTATCATTTTCTCCTCAGATTTCAAGTTTGTTTTCTTTTGCCTAAAATAATACCTTTTCTTGCTAATTAATGTGCACTTCGGAACATGTAGGTGTGTTCTCAATTTTATGAATTTCAGCATGAATTAAGTGAATTCATATTAGGTATTACATTTAACAACCTGTATGCAAAATCCTATGTAGGTCTGACCTCAGGTACTCTGTTGATAATGTACCTGTTTTATCAAACTAATTATATCAAATTAAAGAATGAGAATCCTTTATTGAAAAATATCTTACCAACCAAATTGTGTTTAAAACTATTTTTATTAGCTTTCAGCTCTCTGAGACACAACCATCTCCTCCATCTGATTTCATTTCTGCCATGTTCTTGGTGACAAAGATTTTAGTATGAAGACAGTTGGTTGACTACAAATAGGATCTGTTTTTACTTGTGATCATGGATTTAAGTTTGGCAAGCTAAAGGAATGTCATGTTCTACTTGATGACATGACCAGTACCTACCCAGGAATTGTTCTAATTTAGAATGTTTTTAGTTCTCTTCGTGATTGCTGCTTGGAGTTTGGCCTACTTGAATTTGTAAGAGACTCTATTAAGAGAATTTAAAACCTGCCTGTACCCTGAGCAGCCTCCCTGTGTGGGCCCACCTCTCCCCAGGTCATTTTGTCTCTTCCATCAGGTGCAAAGCTCCTGAGAGCCACTGTACACCCTGTGCCCTGAAAGGCTTGTCTTTGTCATATTGCTCTGTTTAAGCTGCACTTGACAGCTGCACGTGACAGTTGGGAAATTGCTTTCAAAGTCTGGCATTTGGGTTTCAGTAGCCAATTTAAATATATAAGAAACCTATGTCTACTTAAAAATTTTTTCTTGAAGGCATTTGCATTCAGTATCTTTTAAATAAGGAATAAAGTAAATGAAACTGACAACAGGGTCCAATTTTGTTAAATGTCTTTTGGTAATGTTTTGGTAAGGGGCATGGGAAAGACTTGAATGCGATTCAATACAGCATTCCAACATAAAATCGATATAACCAGTAATAACTGTAAATTTAAAACCTCGTTTAGAAATTGAAGTTAAGATACATATTTGATACCATCCTTGGAGAACCCATTTATGTGTGAATTTTAAATAAAATTATGCTAAGTAATAATAATAACAAACTGTTCATGGCAGAAATGATCAAGAGAGAGATTTTATGAATGAATGCCAGCAGAGTGAGTATAGGAATTCTACCACATGCATAGTAAGGGATTTTAGTCTTAGTGATTGAAACTCTTGTCAGAGTCAGAAGTATTTGCTCTTAATTTGCTAGACAATTTCTGTCCACTGATTATTGATTATGCCTTTATCAATCAGGGAATACAAAGTCACCTTTTTTACTTTTATTATTGATCCCTGTGAGCTATTTGGGGGTATTAGTGGTAGCAACTTTTCCTCTCTGGTGCTCTGCAAAATTCTTGACGGTGTCTCTCTCTCAATGAATATTTGTTGCATTAAAATTAAATAGCCTGGTTGAGGCCTCAACCATGTGCTCATCATGTCCATTATATTTAACAGAGAAATAAAAAGATAGTTTTTAAATTTACCTTACATGTTCCCCTTACTGTTAAGGAATGTGGGGATAGAAAATTTGAGCTTCTGAAATATTTTGGAGGATAAATTCAGTTGTAAATTTTTTTCTTAAATACATGTATTTATATTCACCTTTTATACACCTATAACACAGGAAAATATATATTTCATTTTTTAAAATATTTATTTAGTTTTTAGTTGTAGTTGGACACAATACCTTTATTTACTTATTCAGTTTTATGTAGTGCTGAGGATTAAACCCAGGGCTTCGCACATGCTAGGCGAGCACTCTACCGCTAAGCCACAACC